GGTTCATTGCGTCAGGACTGGTTCATTGCTTCAGGACTGGTTCATTGGGTCAGGACGTCCGCCGTGAAACACTTAGCACATGCTTTAATGTTGAAGCAGGGAGCAGCCACAAGAACAACAACATGATGATGAACAAAGTCGAGTCAGGTCCTCTGTCTGGACATCATGTTTTACACTGAAGGGCACTTCCGCTGGAGGGGGCGTGTCCACAGTCAGCCGTCACGTGATCCGGAAAATGTGGGTCTTGGCTCCTGTGCTGCACTGTTCTCAGCTGCTGCGCCTCTGCTCTTCGCAGTGCGCACCTCTCCCGAGCCTGGAGCCTCGGGCGGCCCGTGTCCGGAGCATCATGTCGGGTAAGAGCCAGCGGGGCTCGGCAGCCCCTCGGACCGGACCGGACCGGACCGGACCTGCGCGAACTCACCGTTAATCTGCGGGAACATCGCGACTCGAAAAGGCCGCGTGCCTGAAACTAATGTCCATGCAGCACCTGAAGGGTTCACAGCTCGAGCACTGGTGCAGATTTGATGAGAACTGGTCGGGTTGTGGTGCTGCAGCGTCTGGACCCCAGTTAAACTGGGAATATTGTCATGCAGCGTGTCCATGGACTCATTTAATGTCTGTGACTTGCTCACCACAAACTGGTCCTGTTTGGACATGTTGGCAGAAAGGTCCTTGAAAATCCATAATTGTTTGAATAATTTAGTGAAGTTGTGCCTAATTTTAACCATTTAATCCTAATCCGAGTGTTTCACTAACGTTTGCATGAGTAGCTCATCAACATCAGATGTCAGGCTCGGAGGGATTAGAATCTGCATTCCCTACATTTTTGAGGAAACGATCAAGGAACGACCTTGTAAATGGTTTCAGTCAAATGAATTGTTTTATCAAAGGCCTGCACACTTGCATGCCAAGTTTTAAACTAAAGTCCTTCTAGTTCTTTCCATTTGGGTCAAAGTTTGTATGTCTGGAACAAACCCAGAGATTAACAAGAACTTGACTCCCTCACCTCTGGTCATGAGCTCTGGGTGGTGATGAAAGAAGGAGATGCTGGATACAGGAGGTGACATGAGTTTCCTCTGCAGGGCAGCTGGACTGTCCCTCAGAGACACGAGGAGGAGCTCGGTCATCAGGAGAGACTGGGAGCAGAACCGCTGCTCCTCCACGTCCACAGGAGACAGCTGAGGTGCTTCAGGCATCTGCTGAGGATGCCCGCTGGATCCCTCTCTAGGGAGGTGCTTCAGGCATGTCCAACTGGGAGGAGACCCCGGGGAAGACCCAGGACACACAGGAGAGACTGTGTGTCCTGGGTGTCCTGAGAACACCTTTGGAGTCCTCCCAGAAGAGCTGGAAGAGGCTGTGGATACAGATGTCTGGACCTCTTCAGATGCTGCCCCTGAGACCTGACTTGAGAACAAGTGGAAGATGATGGACAGTCAGCTGTCCATAGAGCTCAGAGTACACGTTGTGAATGACTCAAATCTAAAATTACCTGCTTTGTAACCATTTTTGTCTTTTCTAAGATCAAATAGCTGTTGAGCCCAAAATCTATTCAGTTGAAAACAACAGTCCATGCTCAATAATCCAGGTATATAATCCAACATTTTTCACTCAGCTCATCTGGACAGTTTCTTCTTTTTGTGCTGAAATGTTTTGCCTTCGATCCAGAAGGCTTCTTCAGTCAAGGAAACACTTTGTTGTTGACTTTCTTGTCTTCAACCAGTTTGACAAGACTGTCGACAAGGAAGAGGGCCAGCAGTGGAGGAGGGGACGTACCAAAGACACCTTCTTAGCACCAGCAGAACTGGTTTGTTCCACTTTGGAGTAAACTGTTGGGGGAAGAATCAGTATTGTTGTGTGTTTCCTTGACTGATGAAGCCTTCTGGATGGAAGGTGAAACGTTTCAGCACAAAAAAAGGAACTGTCCAGATGAGCTGAGTGAAAGATGTTGGATCTATTCAGTTGTTTTTGTGCATCAATGGTTGCTTTCTGAAAGTGTGATAAAAATCTTACTGGTTCATGACATTTTTTGCTAACAAACATGGGTACAACAATTTTTACTCGTGCTTTAAGTAAGCATTTGTGCATGCTTTTATTTGCACAGAGGATATAATTAACTTCCTTTTCTTACCTTGACAGTTGCTTCATATTGTGGACGAGCCAAAGTCTGCAGCTTCAGACCCGTGGCTTCCTCTACTACTGTCAATCATCGGTTTAGAGTTGAATTTGTGCTGCACATCTCTGCTTGTTCAAAATACACGTGAACAATAAAAAGACACCGATCACATGGAAGAGTGGGCACTTTAAAAGTGATGAAGCACAGCTGGACGGCACGGTGGAGCAGTTGGTAGAGCTGTTGCTTTTCAGTGACAAGTTCACCTGATCGAATCCCGGCCAGGAGCCTCCTGGGTGCAGTTAGCATGTTCTGTCCGTGCTGCGTGGCTTTTCCCCGGGTACTCTGGTTTCCTCCCACAGACCAGAACCATACGCGTTACACTGACTGGTAACTCTGAATTGTCCCGAGGTGAGAGAGAGAATACTAATAGTAAATAATACACGTTGTTGTTGTTGTTGTTGTTGTTGTTGTTGTTGTTGATCATTTAATAACAATAGTAATAATATTTTTGTTTGTTTGTATGATGATGATATAATAAAACATAATAATACATAGTATTACATACATAGAGACACGTAGTCTCTCCAGTGTGTCCTGGGTCTTCCCCGGGGTCTCCTCCCAGTTGGACATGCATGAAGCACCTCCCTAGGGAGGCGTCCAGGGAGCATCCTTACCAGATGTCTGAACCACCTCAGCTGGCTCCTCGATGTGGAGGAGCAGCGGTTCCATGAGTCTCTCCTGATAACTGAACTTTTTTTGGACCTGCAACAGAGAAAGAATAGAAACAGCCTTTATTGTCCCACGGATGGGAAATTCAAGTGTACCAGCAGCAACAGATGAAAAGATTCACACCAAAGTTCCTAAATGTTAAACCAATATATAAAGAAATAAGATAAACAATATCAATAATAATGTTCAGTATGTGTTGGAACATTGATAAGGACAGAGTACTGACAGCACAGTGTTACAGGCAGAGTGAGTGTTTGAGCAGAGGTCAGCATGGATTTAATCCTTGTAGAGTTTGTTGGAGCAGTGATGGTTGTAGAGTCCAACAGCTGCTGGAGGAAGGAGCTGCGGTCACCTCGGGTCAGCACTGTTCAGAGATTTAAAAACAAGAAGGATTTTAAAATTAATTTGAAAGTGAACTGTGCGCCAGTGCAGGAAGGCCAGAACTGATAGAATGTGCTCTCTATGGCCTGTACCAGTTGAAAATGGGGCTGCAGCATTTTGGACCAGTTGTAAACGTCCAGTGGAGATCTGGCAGGTTCCAAACAGAAGCACACTGCAGTAATCAGGCGTGGATGTTATGAAAGCATGTATTACTGTCTCAAGTTTAGTTTTGGACAGTATGGACTTCAGTTTAGAGTCACCTCAACTGAAAAAACAAAGAAGGGTCCTTTTTCACTCCCTTTCCTAACAGGCTGTGAATCCATAGCCGAGGACAGAAAGCCTGAAATTGAAAAAACATCCCGCACACGAGCAGATAATGACACAGACGTTCCGCAGGCGAGGGGAGACGAGAGCGGTCAGGGTGTTCAAGGACACTTCAGAGGCACTGTAGGACTTTTTATAAGAATGGCATAATCAGCCATTTCCCACTGGTGACATCTGTAAACTCTCTCAAGGGGTGCCGAGGTCGACCAAGGACTGTGCCAGAGAGAATCCAGGAGTCCTGAAATGATGACACAATGTTTATTCAGCTGGGTCCCTTTGATAGGTCCGCAGACTTCCTCGATGGGAGGGAGGGGGGTGGGGTGGGCAGGGCAGAGCATCGATTTACAGGGCCTCCAGGTGAATTGAGATAAAGTGGCCTGTCAAGGCCAGCCGGGGAGCCGAATTCAGATAAAGAACATTTGTTTTGGGGACAGCCAAAACTTTACTGATTTATGTCTGCCTTGAGTTTTTGCTGGTCCTCACGAATCCCAAACGTTCAAATTAAGTGGACACACTGCTGGTCTGTGCCTGAGAGTATTCCCCAAAGTCTGATCCATCCTGCCAGCGAATCCTAGGCGCTGCAATTGACCTGCGAATCTCACAAATCACATCCAATTTGCGGTTCAATTCACAAAGCAATTGAGTTTGGGTGCTCGAGGCACAGAGCACCATCACATGAGGCAGGCAGCCTGACCAGGGCCAAATTTTCTGCCAACGACTTCCTTGTTTGTTGATATACCAGGAACCAGCTGATTCCAAAAAGCAAGAAACCCGTTCTCATAAATCCAATTATGTATACCATCTTCGATAGATAGCAGAGATGGGCACATCACCTTCCAAATGCCCCAGGAATCCATGACATATCCAGCTGTGTGCGTGTCATCAGGGCAAGTTGGCTCGCCTGAATCTTGTCTTCTCGTCGAGAAAATTTTATCAATTGCGTTGAGAGACCAGCTGAACAGTTGCATCACAAAAATGATGGTTTGAAAGATATGTAGAGAGAGGCTCAGAAGCAGTTCCACAGACGGGACGGAGCAAAAGCAAAGTGGAGGAGGGAGAGGAGGGAATGTGTCCGTCCTTGACAAGAGCAAGTGGTGAAGTAACAAAAAGCGATATGAAACAAAATGTCAATTCTTTACTGGAATTTCAATAAAAGATTGAGATTATTTAGTATTTTCTGGCAATGTGAGAAAAACGTTGTGTTGACTGGTTACAGTTCTTCCTAAATACTGAGCTCTGACACATTGTCCCAAATTTTCATTACATTTTAACAACTGTTTTAAAAGGAAAGTAGCATTTTTTATATATTGTCTGAAACAGACGGTCTCTGTGTTTCTTTTTTGATGTCAGTTAAGTTTTTTTTTAAGAATAAGGCACAAGTCTTCACACCAGGCTAGGCTAATGGTTAGTCAAATGTATGATTTCATTTAGTTTTTCATCTCATAATAAAGGTACATTGTTGAACTTCTGCATGACACCGTTTCAGTTCGTCACGTAGTCTCATCCTGTGTTGTGAAAGTAGGTGTGCTGAGAATAAACCACATGTTGACGCTGCTGATTGTATCAGTCTGATGCACACGAGCAAGTTGATCAGTGGCATCAACGTTACTCGTGCTCTATACTCGGCACACATATATTCATGTAGAGTACTACAGTAGAATACATATCGTACATAGTTTTACAGCGGTATGACAATTTTGAGAGTTTTTCTGGCTTCTAAAACAACTTGATCTAAAATATGGCCTTGTTAGGCTAGCTGTTAGCCTAGCTTGGAGGACCACTTCTACCCTTGAGATACTTCAAACTGGCCAGCATGTGACATGCATATCTTACAAATGCAAAAGTGGAATAAAGCATCGTAATGTTTAAAAGATTTGGCATAATCCTTTTGAATTTGGTGCAGTCAAAGTGAAACAGGAAATGACATTTAAGGGAACTTGCTTGTATTTATTGAAAAAATAATGTCTGAGCTCTTCATCTCTCTCTGATAGTGAGTCGGTAATGTAAAGAAACTCAAAGTCTTTGCTACTGTCTGTATTGTTACCCAAACTAGCAATGCTGCGTTGACATGCAGGTGCTCCTCTTCGTCATCACTTCCTGTTAGTGCACATGCAAATATCACAGCGTGAATTATTATTATTACTATTTGCGATATGGTTTTAACGTTATTCTAGAAAAATGTGTTCATATTCTAAAAATATGATGCAGGGACTTTAAGACAAGGGTGTCCAAAGTGTGGTTCGAGGGCCATTTGCGGCCCTTGGAGTGATTTTATGCGGCCCACAGCTGCAGTTTAAGAACGGTATCATTTTGTCCAGCAGGCTTAAAGAGGTCGATGCAGACTTTCTGCAAATTGTTGGTAATCTTTTTATATAATGTTTAGGTTTAACAGCAAAACAGATGAAAACCATCTTCTCAAAAAGAGCAATATTAAACAAAATGCAAATGTTTGGCTGTAATCATTTTATTTTCACTTCATGGTATAAAGCACCTAAAACCTTTACTGGTTTCTACCAGAAAGGAGACTTTTGGATAATGATTCATAAATCTTTTCTAAATATTGCAGTTGATAAAATAATCGAGGGAAGCTGGACGTTTTTTAAACGAGTATAGCGTGGTATCATCTACATACGAGTTGATCAAACAACTGTGTCAACTCTTGAAACTGTGCCTGCAGTCAACCTACTTCACATATGGGGAGCAATATTATAGGCAGAAACATGGGTGTGCTATGGGGTCTCCAGTTTCTCCTATTGTTGCCAACCTGTACATGGAGGAGGTAGAAAAGAGAGCCTTGACGTCCTTTTCAGGGACACCACCAAGTCATTGGCTCAGGTATGTTGACGACACCTGGGTTAAAATTAAATCTCAGGAAGTCCAACATTTTACTGACCACATCAACTCTGTGGATAAATACATCAAGTTCACACGAGAAGATGTAAAAAATGACAAGTTGGCTTTCTTGGACTGTGAGGTCTCAGTCTCTGATAGAGGACTTTTGCAAACCGAGGTGTACCGCAAACCCACCCACACAGACCAGTATTTGCAGTTTGACTCCCATCACCCTTTGGAGCACAAGTTAGGAGTCATCAGGACTCTGTACCACAGAGCAGACAGCGTCCCCACTAGCTCAGGAGCCAGGCAGAAGGAGAAATCCTACACAAGACAGGCTCTCTCTGAGGCTGTTGGACTCATGAGTGTCTAACTAGAATAATCACTGTGAGGGGCCATATCGTGTTGCTGCTGATCTGTTTCGTGTTGCTGCTGATCTGTTTCAATGTTGGTGTGTTCATGCGTGCACATCTGCTCACAGACTCATGTTCATGTTTGTGGTGATGTTCAATGTTTTGTGTTATGGGTGCTTAGTGTATATTTAGTTGATGCATTTCTTGGTTCATATCTTGGATGTTGTTGCTGTTTTTCTTGTGCATTTTATTGTTGGGTGTAACTGGGACCCTGTGTACATAATTTCGCTCCACCACATGTACCACATGAGGTGCGAATGACAATAAAGAAACTCTGACTCTGACTCTGACTCTCTGACTCTGACTCTAGAGCAATGTGGATATCCTAACTGGGCCTTCCTGAAAGCAGAGAAGAAGCCCAAACAGGACTCCAGTCAGCCATCAGGTGAAAAGGAGGAACCCAGACCAGTGGTCATTCCGTATGTTGAGGGAGTATCAGAGAAACTGAGACGTTTATTTTCTAAACATAACGTCCCAGTGGCTTTTAAACCCCAAAATACATTACGGCAAAGACTGGTTCATCCCAAAGATCCAGTCCCCCGGCACAAACAGAGTAATGTTGTGTATGCTGTTCAGTGTCAGGAGGGTGATCAGTCTTACATCGGGGAAACTAAACAGCCACTGGCCAAAAGGATGGACCAGTACAGAAGATCAACATCATCAGGCCAGGACTCTGAGGTCTACACTCATCTCCAGGCCAGCGGTCACTCTTTCAGGGATGAAGATGTTCACATCCTGGACAGAGAGGAACGATGGTTTGAGAGAGGAGTAAAGGAGGCCATCTTTGTGAAAAGAAATCGTCCATCATTAAACAGGGGTGGAGCCTCCAGGTTCAACTGTCCCCCTCTTACAATGCTGTGATTGCTAGTATCACTCAGCCCTCTGTGAACAGTAAACAGCCATCAGGTGCTAATGATCCATTGTTAGGCTGATGGTCCTTCTTGAGCATGTGATCAGCTGGTTTTGGTTGTCAGCAGCAAAACTGGTTGATCCACCCTGAGAAGGTGCTATTTAAGAGACTGAGCTGAATACAGCTCCTCAGACTGAGGAAGTCTCTCGGATGAGAGACGAAACGTTTCTACATTTTTTTTTTTGCTTTGTTTTGTTTTTTGTTTTTTTGAATGTCCAGAGGACCAGATTGAACTTTCTTGGATTTTTCTACCTGGATTATTGAGCATGCATCAGGAGATAAATGGAGTTCTTTGTTTTTTCTTGAAATTTAAACTGTTTGGCAAACCATTAAAAATATTCACCATGTGCTCATCATGTGGTCAATGTGTGTTTTCCAAACAGACCAAGCTTTTGTGACGCTGGCCACAAATGACAGCTACGCTAAAGGGGCGCTGGTTCTCGGCCAGTCGTTACGAAACCACAACACAACCAAGAAACTGGTGGTGTTGGTAGGACCTCATGTCGCAGAGCCTTGCAGGTACAGCCAGAACGTTTAACCTTCCTACATAAATATATATCCAGCGCTGACGTCCGTCTGACTTCCTGTGTTGTAGAGAAGCACTCGGCTCCCTCTTTGATGAGGTGTTTGTGGTCAATTTGATGGATTCAGGCGATGGGGCCCATCTGGCCCTGATGAAGCGTCCAGACCTGGGTGTAACGTTCACCAAACTGCACTGCTGGACTCTGACACAATACAGCAAGTGTGTGTTCATGGACGCTGACACAATGGTAAGAAACAAACCAGCCAATGGAAGGAAACCAACTCCATGGCAATAAATCTTATTTAAAGTGCTCGTAGTGTTACATTTTAGTTTTGCTGCAATCTTATTTTTGACAATCTATAAAAATGATCTTGGATGAGTTTATACAACTTTGTGTGTGTAGGGTATTCTAAGCGCATTTACTGAAGTAGCTTGGTCTGTGTGCAGGTGCTGTCCAACGTAGATGAGCTCTTTGAGAGGGAGGAGCTCTCTGCAGCTCCAGATCCTGGTTGGCCAGACTGCTTCAACTCTGGGGTGTTTGTCTTCAGGCCGTCCAATGAGACGTATGAACAGCTCGTCACGTTCTGTGCTGAAAACGGCAGCTTCGATGGTGAGAGACTGGACATGGCATTTGTAAACTGCAGCAGCCATTTTTGCACATGCACAGTATTCTGGCTTGCAGACAGCAATGAGCAGGAAGCTAAAGAATAAAAACACTATGCAGGGTTGGACCCAATTTGTTTAAATTTGTGAAGAAGCAAGTGATCATGTGTATAAAAGATAAAATGATTGGGATCCGTACCCTGAAGAAGCCCGATAAGTAGAAAAAAACACGAAGTAGGACTAGTAGCACAAGTAAAGGCTCCAAAAGAGCACAGAATGTCACGACTTCAGCGCCCGGCCGTCTCTCGCTCTGTGCTGTCGGCCACGCCCACTTCTCCGCAGCAGAATGGACATCACGGAGGAGGAGCTCTGGGCTGCACAAAGGTGTAGCAGGTGCTAAATAATTTATTTTAAATGAAAATTCCATGCCAGCTGTGCAGCTCATCCATCAATCAGCCAATTGTGTGTCATGTCCAATCTTATTTTGAAAAACCGCGATAGAGCGAGTCCGTGAAAAACGAACCGCGAAGTAGCGAGGGACTACTGTACATCACACTACTGAAAGGTTGAAGTAAACATTACTAACATGGAAAAGCAGTGTCTTTTACAAATCAGCATAAACAGGACATACTGATTCTGTTGAACAGAACAAAGATGGTCATAGTCTGGCTGCTCTGAACATCACTTTGTGTGTTTTAACGTGATAAATGAGCCCCGACTGCCTCACAGTTTGCTCCACGTTCATATAATTAATGTTCTTATTTACGTCTGTGTCCTCAGGTGGAGATCAGGGGGTTCTCAACAGTTTCTTTGACACCTGGGCAACCGCAGACATTTCCAAACATCTTCCCTTCATCTACAACCTCAGCAGTATCGCCATCTACTCCTACCTTCCAGCTTTTAAACAGTCAGTACACACGTGCGCCCACACGAACGCGTGACTAATCATTGAATGCATCGCGTGTTTCCATGCTGTGCTTCTATACATCACTGCACAAGATCAGAGTCAAGGAAAATGCAACTCATACAGCTCAGTTTTTTTTCACACAATGGATCTAGGCAATGAACACCATGGATTGAAGACGGGATGTTCTTAGAGATCATGGAAACCAAATTCTTCCAAGACAATGAGAACAGCGGAGTGGCCTCCTTGCCAATCTTCAAGTCACACTGCCAACTTCCTAACAACAGAGTGCACAAGTGTTCCCCATCACTTCAGCAATCTTTCAAGAAAAAAAGCCAGAGAAGAAGATTCTGCTTTAGGTTTATGCAAAGGATGTTTGATAATCTCACAGAGCTCACTGCACCACTTGAAGATGGCAAAGAGTGCTGGTACCTACCTACCAACCTTTGGAGGTTATGATCTGCTGAAGCCAGGTTGAATAAGAGTTGAATTAGATTTGTCTGCATGACATGATGGAATCTCCCTTGATGTTCTACAAGGACCAGACCTTGGCAACCGTCTCCTTGGAGTCCTTCTGAGATTCAGGAGCGAGCCAATCACTGTTACTGCTGAAATTCTGCACATGTTCCAGTGCTTTACAGTGCCAGAAGACTGAAGGGATGCTCTTGGTTGACTGTGGTACCACACTAACAACCAGATGGTGAAGTGGTTGAGTATCTTCTGAAAGTTAATACCTTTGGAAAGAGCCCCTCTCGTGCTGTTTCCATCTGTAGGTCTGGTAAGGTCTGTAATCAAAGCCTTCCTGGAATCACTGTGGGGCCCGAGGCTCTCTGCGACCCTCCACTTGAGCTCTTGAAGTCGGTAGTTTGTTTCTGTGAATCCCTCCTGGGTCCAGCTCCTGGTTCCCCTGACGACTCCAAGTTCACTCTCAGCAACATGCAGCATATTTCCCCAAGTGTACCTTGGGACTACAGCTCCGTGACAGTTGAGCTAGTTTTCTCCACACACTTTGTACCCAAGAAGCAAATTATTCCTTGTTCTCTTTCCGTGGACTGCACATTTACATTGAGCACACGTGGGCTGTGTGAGCAGCTGTTTGTGTGTTGCTAACCCGGCCAAGGTCAAGACTCTGTGCAGGCCGAGACCCCCCCACTGGATTGTCAAGGCAATTTCTCTAACTTACAACAGCAGAGGTGTCCCAGTCCTTCAAGGTGTGAGAGCACAGTCCACCAGAGGTGTAGCAACGTCCTGGGTCCTACTCAGAGGGGTGCCCACGAGTGACCTCTGTTCTGCAGCCAGCTGGTCTTCACCCGTTGAGTTGGATTGTTTGGATTGACAGACTCTTTTTTCTGCTGCGTGTAAGGTGATGCACTAGCATGCTGTATTTGAGCCGGGTTCGATGGTGGCACTGCGGGGGTGATTATACTTCATGTGTTGTACTGAGTGAGTTGAGCTAATGGGAACGTAGTGATTACTGTTCCCTGCAGGAGAGGGACGAGGTACAGCACGTGTTGCTCTGCTGTGCAGCTGGGTTTGGTGACTAGTGACTGTCTGAGGAATGCCACTGATGACCGATGGATATGTAGTGCAGGTGAGGCCTTTCACTTCTCGTCTCCAGGCAGGTCACGCAGGGGAAAAGCATCCCGTACTTCATATGTTGTACCTCGTTCCTCGCATTGTGCTGGGGGGTAGAATGCTATATTTCAGGGCTATTCAACTGGTGGCCCACGGGCCGGAAATGGTCTGCAGGTGACTTTAATCCCGCCCACTTCATCTAAATAAATAATTAAATAATAAAAAATGAGTGTGTGTGTGTGTGTGTGTGGGGGGGGTGTCTGGGTTTGGGTTCTGTTTATTGTATTTATGATTCAATGCAATAAAATAAACAAGTTAAAAAGGTAACAGAAGGTTGTAAACGTTGGTTTAGTTACATAATGGTTTGAATCGCTGGATGTCCGGCCCCCGAGCTGTTGGCCTTCAGAAACTGTGGCCCCCCTGGACGATGGGGCCAAAACTTTATCACAATATATTTCTTAATTTCGGTCAATAGTGATA